ATTAATTTAAAATCATTGCGAAAATCACGAAAGCTGTTATATTCACCACTATCCAATTTATCTTCCATTTTCAACAAATCCATTGGCCTAAACGGAAGGAAAATAAATTAATATATATTTTGTTAGCTCAACAATAATAATAAATACTCAATAATTATAATTACCTGCGTATAATAGAGTAATAACGAGGCGCTATATCTTCCTCAACTGGATCCATGAATGGCCAAGCGTCGCGATGATTCTTAACATAGACGAGCACTTTGTGCATACCAATTTGTAATACTTCATCCGTTTCAGTAAAACTAAGAAAATTTGTATTCGAAGTGGATATATTTGACGACGAATAGTTAAAACATTTTGTTGTTGAGTTTATTGTTGTTGTTGTAGAGATTTGTTGTTGATGTTGTTGTTGTTGTTGAATTGTTGAATTTTTGAAATTAGAATTATTGTTTAAGTTGAAAAAATTATTACAATTTTGATTAGTTTGCTTATTATTATTACTATTTTGTGAGCTATTAGCATATTTAAGAAAACATTTTGTTGCTGCTGTTGGTGTTGACGACAATAGCGCTCTTGTTGCTGTTGTTGCCGCGGTTGTATTTGATGAATTTCTTGTTGCAGACGAGGTATGGATTGTGGTATTGTTGCTACTAATTATATTTCTACATCTATATTACAATCGATGAAGATGATGATCATGGTAAATAATACGGGGTAGTAGTGGTGGTTGTGGTGGTGGTTGTGGTGAAATGATGTGGTGAAGGTTGTGATGGTGGTAATGTTGGTAGTGATAAATTTTTAATCAATTGGTATTATTGGTATTTTTTTTAATAATATATCATACGATATTTTTATGGGTGAAATGCATTTTTGTTGTATTTCATTGATTTCAAAAATTTACAATTTTAAATGGAATGATTATGTACAGGTATTTCGGAGGAAGGAAAAAAAATTATATGGAAAAGCAAAAAAAAATTTATATTAAATATTTACAAGAATTTAACAGAGGCTTACAATATCATTTACACATAATACAATAAAGCATGCAATCAAAGCGGAACTTAGTTTTTGGAAAATTTGCATTAAATAAATGAGGAAAGATAGAGAAACTAAATAACTGTACATGAAGATGTGACTAATACAAAATGGTATACATAAATTGACAAAAATTATTCTATAGAAGTAAGTAAAAAAAAAAGTATTATTAAATAATAAACAAAGATTTCAATATTATTTAAAAAAAAACGAAAGAAATAAAAATTATAACAAATCTCATGTATTTTTTATTTATTGTGGAAATAAAACCTTAATTTAACAACTGTCTTATAATGTTAATAGCCCCTAATACACTTGAGTAATTTTGGTGCATTAATTTTTAATGCTTGCCACACTTAATGATTTCTGTAGATTGAAAATTCGTATATATGAGCACTGCTTGTATGTGGGTGTACGTGCGTGTACAAAATCAAAAAGAACATTTCGTTCCACATGTAAATCTAAAACATGTATGTATTGATGTGAACACTACTTCAATAGCATCAAAGGATAGGTAAAATTTTAATTCATTAAACATAGTAAACTGTGCGAAAACTGTTATACTACTGTTATAAAACTGTTATAACTGTTATAAAACTGTTTTAAAACTGTTATAAAACTGTTATAATTGTTATAAAAAATAATTTTAATCTTCAATTTTACTTAAGTATGACATAGACAAATTAAACATTATTATATTTTAACTAGAAGATTGTTTAATAAATTTGTTGAACGTCATCTTGCTGTCAGTAGTGTAACTAATAATTTAAATATTGTAAAATCAAAACCAAAACTTTATTTTTATGTATAAACTGTTTATTGTTCTTTTAAAAACAATTGAAATTCATACCAAAACGAGTAATGTATTATGCACGACAGCTTGTTTGAAAACATTGATTTAAAAATCGACTTGGTTATTAAAAAATCTGAAGGTGATTCATGTGAAGAATGCCAAAAACTGCATCAACACCAGAAATTATTACATTCATGTGAAGAATGCCAAAAACTGCATCAACACCAGAAATTATTACAAAAATACAGGACATAGTTTTGGAAGATCATCAACTGACCGAAATAGAATCAGTAGAGATTAGACATTTAATAGATACAGTAAGCAATACTTTATATACTTTATGAATTTCAAAAACCTGTATGGAGAATGGCTACGGCAGTCACGGAAAGTGCAATATTGGAATGATGCAATATTGCAATATTGTGCAATATTTTGTCATTAATACGTAAAGTGTTTTAGAAGAACTAACAGATTTTGTGTGGATCTACTAAAATAATTGCAAATTAAAACAAGAAGATGAGAGGGTAGTCTAAACCCGGCTGTTTGGCTCCAAAGCAAGTTCATGGCTGCAAATCGACCAAAAAGTTGTTAATGGATTAAAACCAAACTGATAAATTGATAAACACAGATTATTACTAGAACTTTTATGGGCTAATTGGATTTTATGAGCCAGGACTTTATTAAATAAAAGAAAATCTTTTTCGTTAGGACAATTCACGTAATCATATAACTATGATTAGCACCAAAATCAATGGATTAAATTAGGAATTATTGGAGTGTAAATCTACTTTCTACATTTCGCTCTCTGGTTTTTCACTCTTTTCTCAACTTTAAAAAATTATTTCGTAATAAACAAACAAAGTCAGAGTACCTTATCCATTTTACCAGATTTCAATCTCATTTTACTCTTTTTTCACATCAAAAAAATACCTGCCTTAGAAGAATTTTTTATAGATCTTTGATAAAACTACTACAGAGATGCAATTCATAAATTGTAGGATCGTTGGAATAAGTCTATTTAGTAGAAGGTCCTTACTTATACTAACAAATAAATGTGTTTTTACAATTAGAAATGAGTTTTATTATTTCGGTTCCACAAATTAATAAAAACAAGAAATTGAACCAAAGGAAGATTACTCTACGAAACTTGAATTTCCCTCTCAAAACACACAACATTGTTTCTAAACGTTAGAATAATCTTATGTTAATAATACAGATAATATTACAGATATATTCACATATGCATATTTTATAAATAGAAGGAATGAATGAATGAATGATTTAAACTATTTGTTAGAAATAAAATATATAAAGTAAGTGTTGCTTAAGCTTAAGTTGAAGAAATAAAATATATAAACATAAATACACTAATAGATTTAACTAACCAATTAGTTTTTTGTTTTTTTTTTTTGTGAAATTACAAATTTTGAAGATTCTAAAGATTCTAAGTTAAAAGTATACATCTTAAATGAAAATACAAAAGTAACTACAACAAGCAACAGCAAAAAATTCGCATAAAACTTAGAGAGCATAATCTGAATATTACAGCAAAAACTAAAAAGAAAAGAATATCAATCTATTAACTCGATTACTCACTCTTCGGTAGGAGGCTTCTGCGAAGTAGATGCAACGACAGCTTTCTTCTTGTTACTTCCAGTGCTACTGCCTGCAGCAGCATTGCTATTGCTGGTTTTCTCATTCGATCCACTACTCGTATCCGCCGTGGAGGATGTGGCGGTTGATGCGTTGGACGATTTTTGTTTCTTGCTCGTCACTGCTTTACTTGTTTTTGATTTGCTGTTACCTTTGGACTGTTGCAAAGAAGGTGGTGGTATAAAAATATTTCCCGTCAGAGAAGAAAGCGAATTATTTGTTTGCCTGCCAGGCAATTTGGTATTAGTTGTCGGTGCCATTTCCTGCACAATATCGCTACCAACTTGCTCCCTTTTGATTATGGCCTGCTGTTGTGCAGTTGTTGATAAATTCGTTACAAGATCGTGTACTTCACTATTGTGAGCAGCACTTGTAGCGTGCAAATCGACGTCAATAACTTCACTGGAACTTAAACGACGTCGACAGAAATTCTCCTTGTCTTCTGGACTTAGAGAAGTCGCATGCACATGATTTCGATGCTTGCGCGCACGATGCGAATGATGACTCTTGCCACTATTGTGACTGCTGCTGTTGCTCACACTTTGATTGCTATTACTACAATTGTTAGTTGTATATTTATGACGTCGACGATGTTCCTTTGATTTCTTCTTTAGTTTTTTTTGAGATTTTTTCTTTTTATGATGTGATTTTTTGGTTTTTACAGGTGGTGTGGGAGCAATAAACTCTATATTTTCTACTTTAGGAGCTTTATCTTCGAGAAAATTAGTTGTTGAGTTTAAGTATGAGTCTGCAGACTCATGCAAAGCTGATGATGGGTTAAGCTGACTAACGTTATGTTCAACTGATTTCAATTCAAAATTATAGTATAAATACTCAGCACTTCTCTCCTCTGTACCAATATTTCCGTTTTCGTCGCTTTTGTTTTCAACTTTTATACTTTCAGTATTTATTGGTGATTCCTCCTTTTCCAAGTCTGCTATCGGTAAAGGTTTTAAATCATCAACTTCAGTATCATCTTCATCTTCAGGTGATAGACAAAATGTTTCTCTATGGCATAAAAAATCGCTGGAATTGGTTGTGGTGGTTCTTAACAAGGAACTAGCATAAGTTGATACACCACTCGCTGTTGATGTAGACTGAGATCTATAATATATACAAAAATAAACATCAGTAACATATAAGACTTTTTTTTCCTTATTGATCTTTAACTATAATCTATAATCTAAAATTACATATTATCAAAGCTTTCATAAGATGATAAGATATGACTTTTTTAATGATTAATTAATGAAGAAATCGTATGGATTAGTATAGATGATGTATTGCTGTAGTCTTTCAAAATTATTGGGCAAATAAGCAAAATAAATTAAACAAAAAAATATATTGGAGGAGTTATATTGGAGGAAATAAACAAATTCGAAAGAATAAAAATAAGAAATTTTAGAATAAAAAGCATGCTTACTTATAATTTTTTTATTGAAAAACCAAATGATTGCCTATCCAATTCCAAAAAACTCATATGTAAGAAATCTGTATGTTTCTCAGTAAGTTGGTTCTTGTGGTCTGCACGTACGTTGTTGGTCCTCTGTTGTCAGTCGTATTTACCGATTACTGATCTCGTTTGTTGGCACTACCACAGCCACTTCGACAATCAATGGATTCGACGAATCAGTCGAACTTTTGTATATGTAAGCCAAAATATATAACTTCGTTTTTAATGATTTTAATTTTTATATCTTTTTTTTCTATATTTTTTTTTTTCTATCTTTTTTCCATTTTTGAATGAATATGATTTTATGTTATAAATTTAACGAGTATGTTGAAGTGCCAAACAAATTTAGCTGACCAAGCGTACTTATATTATTTTTAAAGTTATTAGTTATTCAGTCAAAGGATCCAAGTTGTATAAACAAAAAATTGATGTTCGTTGGGAATTAAAATAAAAATATGATAACTGAGAATTATTGCAAATTTTAGGTTTTAATAAAAATCAACATAAACACAATCGGTAATTGTATTTGCGAAACTGTTCTGATGCGATAGATAATGTGTGAGATTGCACTATGTTACGATTATTATGATTGAGTGTAACTGATCAAATTTTTATATATCTTTGTTTATTATAACATATATTAAGTAGATGATTTTTTATGAATCAAGCAAAAATGAGAGAAAAAAAATTGCTTTAATTATGTATATTTGTTAACTGTGATATGCTTTTGACTATAGCTTTATGTGTTTATATGTTTGGTTTGATGTTTTGATTATTGTTATTATTAATTATTTAGTTATTGTTGATATTTGTGTCAGTTGTTGTAGTGATATCATTAGAGGCATTTTCTCTCGCTAACCGTCTTCTTAAGCGGCTCTGAGCTGACAATAGTTGCGGCTTTTGTGGGGTCTCGAAATGGGCACGCTGTTCTTCAAGCAATAAACGTTCACGTTCACGCTCTTGACGCGCTTTCAGTTCAACTATATTACGTATACGACTAGAGTTACGTACTTGGAGAAGCCTAAAACAATATTAAAAAAATAAATTAATAATTATACAAAAATATTTTAAAAAATAATATTAAAATTACACTTTATTTCAAATTAAAAATAAAGAAATAGTATATAATTATTTATTCTTAACACTCATTTCATTATTGCTTGTTGTTATTTCGATATATTTAAAACTATATTTTCGAATTACATCTCTTTTATATATGTTAAGTAATATCTATATTATTATTTATAGATTTATTACTAACCAATGCCCACGTAATTAACCCAAGCGTTTTGGAATGAACAGGTTACAGAATTTCCACGACCAAACACTTAAAAAATTATAACCACATCAATTCTTTTTAGATTTCAATATACCCTCAAATAATAAACAAAAAGCATGAAGGCAGCCCTAGAAGACGATGGATCTACGATATGGAAATTAACTTAAGAAATATGTTTACTCAAAAACAAAGAAGATTTACGAAAAACAAAGTGGACTAAAGAAACATAAAAGGGGAAACCAAAATTACTTCCGATTAATTAAAACAATATATATAGATATATATATTATATTATAGACGAAAACTATATACTGTTAAGATGTTTGAAAAAATCGCGATATCATTATAATACTTTGCGTCTTTTATTTCTTTCAAAATATTCAACCTTAGGTAGAGGTCTAGTAATTCCTCTCTTTGGTAGAGGTCTAGAAGAGGTCCTAATATATTACTTAAGTATTGTAGAAAAAACCTGTGAATTCTTGTTGTGTACAAATATTAATTTTGCATTATTTAAGTCAACTGTTTAACTAGAAACAATTTAAATGTTCCAAAACGAACTTAGTCCAAGCTAATCAATGAAGGCGTCTTACCGAAGCGACAAGCTTTCTTAGCCTGCTATTAAGATTATGCCAATATCATAGTTTAGTACTTTATTTTTTACAAACATCTCCTTCCTCAACTACATTTCTGTAATACACTGCATGGACATTAATGACAGACAAACTTGCAACCAGAGCTGACTAACGGCTTCAATATTGATAGGCCCAAAACCTTTCTGTGGTCTAAGCAAAGGAACTCTATCCATTCTTATGAACGGAACTCTATTGGAAAAGATTACCAGGACTTTCACAATCTAAAATTCTTTTAGGGACTTACAGCCTTAAAAGCTTCAAAGATTGCATAGAACGATCAAAAAATAAATTAAGAATTATTACGGGTTTATTTACCGGTCACTATTGATTGAATAATCACCTAACGAAGTTAGAACTTCAATCCAATTCAGACTGCAGATACTATAAAGAAGACAGGAAAACTGCATGCCACGCCACGTGCTTGGCCGGCACTAACGCACAAATGGAAGAAATACCTAGAAGGGTATTTCAAGAATCATAAGGATTCAAGATTATGAAATATAGGCTTCATATTGTATTTCATTAAAGAAATCGGACTTGGAGAAACACTCTAATGCGACAAAGGGGCACAATAGATATTTTAGGTCGCAGTGCACTACCCCTTTTCTCAATAATAATAATAGTTCTAATAGTTGCATGGACATTTGTTTTCTAGTAGGCTTCATTGAATAGATTTCAAACCTGACTAAATGAACCTGAGGTTATAATAGCACCCAGAACTACTTGCGAAAACCTCTAGTAAACATCAACAATTAAGTAACATTCATTAACAGCATATCGTCAAAATTTGATTATTCAGATTAAAGTTAAGTTAAACAGGGTTACCAAACTCCTACATAATCATAAATCGAGCTGAAACAAACACAAGGTCTAAATTCTCAAGGTCTAAATTCCAAATTCCAAGAAATTTGGTTGTTGTTGTTAGGCGATTCTAGTAAATTAAATGTTTTGAGTTAAATAGATATATATACATTCTATTTATATAGTAATTTAATGTAAACAGTAATTTAATACTAGTACATATTTTCGAAAATATAGTCTAAACAAATGTTTTGCATGCATTTTTTATGGTATAAACACAGACAGTTTCTATATGCAAGGTATATAAATCTGTATCTGTCGTTTCGGATATTACAAAACAATTAAATTTTATAACTTTCATACCTAAACACAAAAAGACCATATGCCGAGGTTTTATATTACAAAATACTATAAAATGTGTTTACTGCAAATATATATTTTTTTTTTTACAAAAAAAGAACAATAGAAACCATAAGTTGAAGTCAATCGATCGATTTTCTAATCAAAACATTTCTTAAAAAAACAGGTACAGAAATCATCCGTTCAAGGATGACCAATCAATTAAATACATACCGAAAATTATGGAAATTGAACTTCAGCAAAAATATAATATATAATAAACATATTTTTTAGATTTAAATATATATACATGATATATATGTTATATATTAATTTATAATATATTAAAATATTTCATATATAATAATAATACTATATATATGCATATATAATTACAAATTATTATTATATATTAATTTTTATATATATTATTATTATTTATTAATATTTATATATATTATATATTAATATATATTATATATATATATATTAAAACCTTTAATTTAAAAATTTTGTGTATTCACTTACAATTGAAGTTTTCACTCTTCAATATATGAAAACTAGAACTAGAACTATTATAGTTTGATAGATTCTGGAATATTGAAAACTTTTTCTTTAATATTTGGAAGTATTTTTTTTTTCAATTTTTAAAACAAAACACTTAATGCACTGTTTTTTTAAATAACTTTGTTTCACAATGTTAACTTCACAAAAAATTTAAACAAACAACTTCAGCTTCAAACGAATGATTGAGAACTGAATGCAATTCTATCTGAACAAGCCGTTAATATATGATATATTAATTCGGGTATTTTCGGTAAATTTGTCGAGTAAGAGAGAGATTTGTATCTCTTTTGCATTGCGATAAGTCAGTTATACTCTCAAATCAATCAAGTGACGAATAAAATTGCAAGATACTCATTTACTGAAAGTAAACGTTTCACTGCAGAAAAATAAGAGTCGTTAAAACTATCAACCAGAATTAAGGGTCCTACGTAAACTAGATTCTATTCTCACCGTTATCTAAATAAAATTTTCTCATTTCAAGTGCAAAAATAAAACAAAGATTTACTCGGAAATGCTTAGTTATCTTCATTTTTTCTACTCACATTTTTTAATATGCAAATGAAAGAGATACATAATTTGATTCACTGCTTAATAAATATTTACACAGGGTTGTTATTTATGCTGGAAATTTGCAAACAGAATTGTTTTTTTTTTTGGGAAAACTAACTGATCTATATTAAATAATAAGTATTGATTTAATTATTCACTTCTAATATACAATATAATTACTTTTCATGTTTTTCTATTTTATAATTCGTACTTTATTATGTAAAGAAAAATATCAAACATTTTAAAATCTTTTTTCCTCTTACATACACTTTATATAATATATAATTAGATATAATAATATAGAATACACGATTCAAAATCACTAAAAATTGTTATATATATATTTTTTATAGATCGTAGAATGAAGGGTGTTTCTTTACTTACTTTAAATCGAATATTGTGTTACGATATATATATGTAATGTTACGATGGATATATATATATATATTATATGTTTATTTATATATAAAATGTAAGAAAAAAATAACGACACTGATTTTGAAATAATTTCACTTCACATCTTCAACTTCACAAGAAATCTAAATTAACAACTTTAGCCTCAAACGAATGATTGAAAACTAAATGCAATTCTATCTAAAAAAGTCTCTAATATATGATATATTAAATCGGGTATTTTCGACTTTCTCTAATTTTTGGATTAGAAAAAACATTTGTATCTCTTTTGCACTGCGGTAAGTTATTTATACTCTCAAATCAATCAAATGATAAATAAAATTGCAACAAACATATTAATGAAAGCTCAGCAGAAGTACTCCAAGAAAATAGAGAGCATGAGACTATCAATCGATATTAAAGGTTCTCTGTAAACTAGAGTTTTTATTTCTATATAATAAATCTTTACAAAGGGATGTTATGTCTATTAATATTTTAAACTAGAAATTTTTTGGGAAACTAACTAATCTATATTGAATAATATATATACAATAGAAAAAAAATCTAATTTATATATTTTTAATATTTCACAAGCCTTACTTTTACATGTAAAAAAAAGAGATTACCCTTTTTTCAATAATAATAATCATTTTTTTTATGTTCTCTTAATATTCTCTTAATGCTCTCTTTATGTTCTCTTTATTCATAAACAACAGTAGACACTAAAAGCTAGAGCAAAGTGTTCAAATCAACAAGAAATAATTCTATGTTCTGTTATAAAAAATATATAAATACTTATTATGAATAAATGGTTTTGTTTGTAAGTCTATGGTATTCATTTTTAAAGAACGAAGAGTGTCTATCGAAATTTGCATAGAAACAAAGGATGATTCACCTTTATCGTCCATTAAAAATTATTATATAACTTTATGTTAAGTTTGTGGATTTGTCAATCCATTGGAGTAGAAATAGCTGTTTTATCGTTCTAACATTTTAATGATTTTGAATTTGAGTGGATATATATCAACGACCTTATTAATAGTTGAATACGTTAACTTTACTTCAAAATTGGACCAACTCTCTTCATATATAGCTGATATATATATCTATATATTAATCAGCTATTTATATTTGAACGGATTGACAAATCGACGAACATAACAGAAGATTATATGATGTTAGATATCTGAACGTATGAGAAATTAGATTATTCACATTTAAAAAATAAACGATCGTTTCATATTCTTTCGATTCGATAAAACCATTCCATACAGATATACTTTCCTGTCGGGAGTTCCCACATCAATGGAGATCTTTCCATTTGTACTGACGATTCTTAAATAAGGTGAAAAGATTGGTTTTAAAGATTGGTTTTAAAAAATTAAATATAATAAAATATTATTGGCATCCATATAGATACAATCTATCGGAAAATGGCTCATTAATAGGGGATTTCAATACGTAACTTTTTTGCTCTGAGATAGATTACGGCATAGGTATTAAGGTATCGAATTAAGATGTTAAAGTTGTTGGAATTAGGAAAGCAATAGCGATACTTGAAATGTATAATATATTAAATATGAATAAAATTAAACAACAAGAAAATCGAACTTCTTTGAAATATTGAGACCAATTTACATCTAGATTGTTTATTTGCTGCTATACATATCAAAATGTGGTGTCGAAGCAGTACAACATTTCTGTTTTTTGGAATATTTATTACTGAGATATCGCTGGAATTTACAAGAAAAATAAGCTAGCCAGACAATACCTTCTGCTTAAAAAGTATCCGGATTTTGTTGTTTGTTAACTACTCTTTAAGTAATAGACCTTTTTCAAAAATGTTTGTTATGTTGATACACCCTTTCTTGACATATGGTACAAATATGAGCGCCATCTGTCAATTAATTTGTTTACAGCAGCTGTTAATGTGAGACTACCTCAAGTGCATTTTGCGATTTTTACTATGGAAAATTCTTGTTGTACGCGTTGTTGTTGACCAAACACGGCACCATATTCGCCAGATCTGGCTCCGTGCGACTTTTTCCTGTTCCCGAAACTCAAATTGCCCCTTCGTGGTAAGCGTTTTGAGTCGATTGAATCGGTAAAAGAGAATTCGCTGAAGGAACTAAAAGCCACACCCTCACAGGCCTACGAAAAGTTTGTATCGCTTCAGAAGGAGCATATTTTGAAGGAGATAAAACAAATTTGGAATAAAATTTAAATTTGTGTGTTTTATTTACAAAATCCGAGAACTTTTTGAGCAAAAGATATTTATTCTTAATATCTAAATAATTTAAACAAGATTTAAAGAATCAACGGTATACAAACTTCTTATATACGAAACAAATAAGCAAACTTATTTAAATGCTTTATAGGGATATGTCTTACAATGGGTTTGCAGACAGATCAGTGTCGGTTTTGGTGACTTTTATCAGAGCTGTGAAAGAGATACTTCATCTTGAGATGTTAAACTTTGTTTTTATCTAAAATATACACAACTCTATAAACAAGAATTTCGCAGTACATATGTGGGAATTATTAACTAATAAAGATGAAGAATAATTTTCTTATTTCAATATAAACATTTCTGGACTTTCTGTTATTTAATATACCTTTATATCTATGTTTAGGGTATTTGCTTTTCAAATAAATTGTCATATATGTTAATTTTATTTTCATTATCAAGTTGTATGTTGTATTACATATACTAGTAAATTAAGTTATATAAACTGTTAAGTTACATAGAAACTGCTTAACTTTAATAAGTATCTGATCCATTCAATTATTTAATCATATTAGACTTAAGAAGTTGGTTTTACAAATCTCACTCAGTATGGTTTTTTGGCACTTCATCCATTTCTTACTATCCTTAAGAAAATTTTCTCACTTTTACCAACTATTTTAATCTTATTATTATTAATCTTATTATAATCTTGTTTAGCTTCATTACATTACTTACTTGCGTCTCCTTAATCTTTCGCGTTCACGGAAGAGTTGCGGTAATTTTGGTAAAAAATTATCATGTAATATACGATATAAATCACGTTCCTTTGCATTAGTTGACTTTTCGAATTTACTAGTTAAGTTTTGCCAATCTTCTTCGGTAAAGCAAATTACTTGCCAAACGCCACTATTTCCGAGTTTGCTACTAGCCGATGCCGGTTTATCTTCCCGATACAAGCGTGTACCATAAAAGTACCAGTAACCAGAATTCTTCGAATCGTGTCCAAGCGGTTCAATACGTAAACTGTCAGCCTCTAAATTCCCCAAAACAACTTGCACATCATTTGAGTCTAAACGAAAATGACATAAATCTTGTAATATCTGCAAACGATTGCGTATAGGCAAAGATTGAAAATCAACGTCAGTATCGAAATGATTCTCGGTATTATTAACGCGACATTGTTGGCGTAGGAATCGCCGCAAAAACATTTGATAATTACTGTGCGTTATTTCTTTAGCAACTGATTTAAGCGCATCGCAACCCTTTAATAGACGCACAACAAGCTCGGGTACTAGGGCAATTTCATCAGTACCATCTGATAATAAAGCAGACTCCAAATCCTATTAAATACAAGTACATAACATACATAGTTTTACTAGTTATTAAACAGTTAAAATATAGAAATAGGCTTACTTCAATATCAATATCAGGCAAATCAAATGTGGAACTAAACAACGAACAAAAATGAGATATACACGGTATCTCCCACCATGATTGAATGTCTGCAAAACATAGGAAGAGAAAAAAAAAGAAATACTAAAATTAATATAAATCGTAAAAGTCTGTAATATTTTAGATAAGAAGAAATATTGTACCTTAATACCGTTTATAAATAAGTAACTTGAGAACAATTAAAATCATTCCACCAAAAACACAATTCTTTCTATCAAAGCTGATACGTAGTAAAATATCTCTACAATTTCTATATTTTTCTTTGTATATATCTACACATATTATACATCTACATATACATATATGTGTATATACATATATATACACAAATATATTATATATTCACATATTATACATGAATAATTGTTATAAACGTAAGTCTTTGCTTAGTGGTTTTTGACCGTAAAAAATTTCCATTAAATTTTTTGTGTTCGCTAATTTAATTTCAATTTAAAAAATGTGTTTTACTTTAGAAAAAAAGTTTTCCGATTTGAGATAACATTTACTGAACCATAAGTAAAATAAAAATTGCAACAGATATTTTCAAAATAAAATTATCAAATAAAGAACAATTGTGAAAATGAAATCCATATTCAGATAGTGCTCAAAGAAACCCTTTTAATTTTCTCGATTATAAAATCGAAATTTTCATAACATGATGAAACGGTTTTACGTCCCTAAACACTCCTCAACTTTGACATACAAATATCATTAAACATTTCCATTAAATAGCAATAGATAGATGCCAATAGCAGCCAGTTTTAGAAACATAGAGAAGTTCCAAAGCATGCTTACTAACAGAAGGAATAGCTACCCACAACCACTGTATTGATTTGATAAGACAAGCAAACAAGTCTATAGAAATAGAACGGCTTTTATGATGCTATATCTCTTCTTTAGTGTAAATTTGAGAAATATATACCTAGAAAGCTATTTAGAATGGTTTGGCTTTTTGTTACACATAATATTTATTGAATTTTGCCAGTCGAAAGGAAAAATGACGTTACATGCCTAATATATAAAATATATGTCAAAGTGCTATGTGGCAATTATAGACCACTTGTGCTACTGAATTCTATTATAACATATTTTCCAGATTTATTTGTTATAAACAACTTAAATTTATAACATTTTAAAATAAGCTATATTCCACAAATATCTTATATCCACCAAATGCTAACACAATTCTTGAGAATATTACAACCAGATTTTGGGAGTCTACTGAGAATATATATTATCATTACTTTTTATTAAAAGTTTTGACGTGAAATCGCCCAATAGCCAGTATTGCGGCCAAAAAAGTTCTATTGTACCAATTTCACTATTGATTACACAAAGTCCTTTAAAGCTTTAGGAACAAAGTCCAAAACTAAATCTAGAGAAGAGTTCTTGAAATTCCACATGAAACAAGTTTCTTCTGTGCATTATTACAGCTAGACAGTCACAAAGAATATACATAGTAGTTTCCTCATCATTGAAGCATAATCTGCATTCCGAATTAGCAGATAATCATAGTTTATGAAGGTAATATTTCAGACCATAATGACCTGTAATGAAACCCGTTATCAACCTTAAATTACATTTTGAGAATTTAAGAATGTTTTTGTAGGAGTACAGCTTTATCAGTGCTTTACTTTGTCTAAGTCCTGAGAAGTCTTCCCAGGACAACAAAGAACACCTGATTGTGTAAAAATATCCAGATAACCTACATGAAAGTCTGTTCACGATGCACAGAGATTATTTTAAATATTATAACCACATAACCCGATAACCAGTACCCTAAAAACTATTTCTCTCCGGATCACATGGTAGTAAATAGCTTACATTCATAAATAATTTTGCTTGATACATATTTCAAAATTTTTCATCATTATTATCAACTTAATTATCAATTTTATTTATTATACTTTATTATATTATTATACTTATTTATTATAATTTTATTTATTATTATATTATACAATTTCTGAATTCTGAATTATTACCAGAGACGCTGATGTCTACAAAAAACGTACTTGCTGCTGAGAAAATGTGTGTTGAATTAGAGAGTCATTAACTACCTTTAAAATCTTTAAAGTCTTAGAAAAGTTCAACAAAATACCATAATTCCGCCACCAGCTTATTCTCCAGACATGGCTTTTTTATCTCGAACTTAAAGAACAAGATAAAGAATGAGATAAAGGCAAAATTAAAGAGCAATACCACACTAAAAAAGGAGTTCTTGAAGTTCTGAAGTATTTTAAACTTTTTGAAAAATCATAAGAGATTTACATATATAATATATATGTTTGTAATATATATAATATATAAATGTTAGACAATTTTTGATATTGATTGTATGAAATTCAAAAGAGTCTATATCAATAAAGACAGGCTAATTTTGCCTGCACCTATATATGTAAAGCAATTAATTATAATTTGCGTACTTTTTGCATGGAATAAATTAACAAAATTTGTTTTTAACAAAAGCTGTTTTGTATATCGCCAAATATCCGTCATAAGCGGACTTTGGAACACTCATTGGTTAGTCTGTTTATAATTTTTGAACTGCTAGTGCCAGATATTAAACCGTTGGAAATTTAAAATACAGCCTCGCATGTAAGCACATAAAGCCAAAGTTTCACTTCTATTGCGTTGTTCAAATTTGAAATTTCGACTTACTCCTTACAAAAAGCATTTTACATAATTATATATTGAAAAAAAACAATTAATTTTTTTACAAATTAATTTTCGATTTTACTACTTTAAAACTGCTTATTCGTACTTTGCAAAAGGATAGACCATACGTGAAAGAAAATTCTGATTTAAAACAGAGAAAATTTTAACTTGCAATAGATTTGTCTTTAAACAAAATCTAACCTCGGTAATCTTGGTTTACAGTACTTATTTACTGATAAATAAAATGGGTTTTATTTGTGAACATATATTATTGCCACCGATATTACCCATTAAACGAGTACATATTGAGCGAGAATAATAATCTGCAACTATATGCTTATTTTTAGTGTATCCTTTGGTTAGATTTAACGTTGTTCGTTTTAAATGGGTTCGTTCTAATCAGGTAAGTTTTAAAACAATTCGTATTAAACAGGTTCATAATAAATGGGTTGATTTTAGATAGGTTTATTTTGAATGGATTGACTGTGAATTATTTCGTTTTCAACGGGATTAAAGCAGGTTCGTTGAAACGAGTTCGTTTTAAACAGGTTTATTTTAAAAGTGTGCGTATTAAAAGCGTTCCTTAATTGAGTTCGTATTAAACGGATTCATTACAAACTTGTTCATTTAAATATTTTTGCTTCAAACGAATTTGTATTTAACATGTTCGTTTAAGCAGTTCGTATTAAACGAGTTCGTTTTAAAAGAGTTTATTAGGGCCATGTTACATAGAGCGTCTTGGGCACGCCAAAATTGGTTCCTTTGAGCTATGCCGAAAATGCGTGCTATGTAGACTGTTACTTCAGTATTACAATTTTCGTATTTTTACAATATCTTGGTATTTGATACTTTTTGGTTGTGTCTAAATTTAAAAGGATATGTAGATATGTTGACTTTCAATTTGCCATTAAAAATGACCAACGAGAAAAAACTCATAGAGGCTATAATAATGTTTATTTATTATTATAACATCTTATAATAATTTTTAAAAGTACTTACAAAATTATACGCGTTTCCTTAAAATTGGAAAGTGTAATAATTGGATTATTAGCGGTTTATAAATTAGGCTGTGTTGCTTACTGCCATTTTTTCTCCAAACCGTATTAAAATTGTAGTATTTTGCTCCCAAAAGGCACAAATTCTGAAATTTATTTTATTACGAAATAACACTGCTTAGCCTTAGTGCCAAGGCACAACATGCCAGTTCTCATGCCGAAATTTGAACCGATATATTGTTTTAACCACGTTCGTATTAAACAGATTTGTTTGAAACGGATTCATATTAAACAGGGTGGCTCATTTTACATGACTTCGTTTTAAGTGAAAAGCAGTCTATGTGTAGAGAAAAACTAGTCGCATATGCGGTATTAAAAATATGATTATATTTGATTTCAACTACACGTCTAAGGAAGAAAATGTATACCTTATTGGTAATTGATAATTTGTATGGTGTAAAAAAATTAAACACATCAAAATTTTAAATGTTTTAATTTAACTAATTTACTTCAAAACTTTTTTAATTATTATGTTTTTTTTTACTAAATTATAAAAATTGTTGGTCGAATTAATTTTTTTATTTTTTTTTTTTTAATAATTATTTATTATATCTAAATTTCATATTTCTGTTGTCTAAGCTTCTAAACATGCATAACGTACAGCAAACGAAATGCGAAAACAAAACAAAACGCAAAAAAAAACAAAAACAAAAAAACAAAGACTACACGTATATCGAACATTTAAGTGAGTCAATATTTTTAGCATGTACTGTAAATTTATTTCATTCATTTTGACGGCGCTGCCAATAAAACGGATTAAGCAGCTTAAGCGTTTGTGTACTCACCTAATAGGCCTATGGAGGTAGAAACCATTTATGTTTGTTTAGAGTTTGTTAATTATAACTTTTTATAAAATTATTAAATTTTATAAAAGCCCAATTTTTAATAGTATTTACAAAGTTCTGTTCTTTTTTTTTTTATTAACACGTACACGTTTCAAAACGTTTGTTTTTTTGTTCTTAAACAATTTCTCAATAAAGTCTTCTCAAAGTTTAATAATTAATTTTCAAAACATTTTCAAATATTTCTATTTGGTGTATTTTATTTTTTATATATTTCAGTTACTTCTTTAACATAAAAAAAATACAAGAAAATAAAAGCAAAAAAGTTAAAAGAATTGTTAGATAAGAAAATTTTAAATTGAGTAATTTAGGCGCCAAATTAATCCCCACACACACCCTGAAACCAACGAAAAAAAAAAACTGATCAAACTGAATTTGCATCAAATTACCTGGAGCAAAAAAAAAAACCAAGAGAAATAATAAAAAAAAAAACAATATAGAAAATATAATAAAATGAAACGTGTTGAGTTGAAAGAATTGATTTGTATTTATTGTTGTTTGTGTAAAGCACAGAATAAAAACAAAATCAAATAGCAAAAAGCCGCCAAAAGCTGTGTAGAAATATGAAAAAACAACACAAGAACACAAAGCGAAGAACAGACGACAAATCGTAGCAAGCAAGCAAGACAGCAAAAAGATAAAACAACAACAAAAAACACAAAATTGTTGGAAAGAATTTAGTTAAGAATGGAAACTGTAATGTGGTTACTCGCAGTGCTTCGGTGGGGCGATGTGCTTTTATGAATATTTTACCAACCAAAATGTCGGGTAAAAAAATTAGCAAATGAAAAACAGAACCAAAAACAACAAAAAAAACACAAACCAGTAATTCACGACTAGGAATAACGCGGGCAAAATGCTTAAACCTAAACATGTGTTCTGTTGCTGAGTTGAAAAGAGTAGGCAAGGAAGGGTAAACGAAGTGGAGCTTCGTGCGTGGCACACCAGAGCGAATGGCGCTCAAAAAAATGCAGAGGAAATATGCGCTGCGCTGCGCTATGTTGCGTTGCGTTGCACACAAAACAAAAACAAATGTGTTTGTGAAAATGTAACAGAAAATTTTATTCCAAAAACAGACTTCAAATTTTATAATCAGATTTTATAACGTAAGAAAAGCACAGAGAAAAGGAAGCAGCAAGTGGTGCAACAACAACAACGCACTGCTGCATACATCAATGGGTGTCGAGTGGAAACAAATGAAACTCATAAATATATATAGGATATATATATATATAAGATATATAAAATTTATATAAAATATACATAGAATATATATAAAATATATATAAAATATATATAAAATATATATAAAATATATATAAAATATATATAAAATATATATAAAATATATATAAAATATATAAAAACTATATATAAAATACATATAATCTATATATAAGATATATATAATATATAGATATATATATAATACAGATATACATAATATATAGATATATATAATATATAGATATATATAATACATAGATATATATAATATATAGATATATATAATATATAGATATTTATCATAATATATCACATAAGAATTATAACTAAAAAATTATCTAATATTTTTGGATTTCGATCTTAAATTCAGTCAAGGTTTAAAGTTCAAAAAATTTATTTACGCATTGAAAACTAATGAAGAATGGCAAAAAAAAAGTGTCAAGAAACTGTTTGCAAAATACAAATAAGATATATATATATTACAAGGGACCATGGTACATTAGGAAGAATGACATCCTCAGGGACCTCAAGATTGATCCGATTAAAAAATACATAAAGGATATAGCCCTGAAATTATTTACGAAAACTGACAGGCTTACCAGCACCGCGTTATCGAATCTCAGAATTGTTACAAACTCCTCAGGGAGGTATGCAGATCTGCGGTCAGTTATTGGTTAGTCTGATGAAGTGATAAACAATAATCTAGTCAAGACGTAGAGAGGGGTTATAAAGGAACCTCGCAGCGAATAGAGAGTAAAAGTGCTCTACTCACCACGTGTAGAAGTTTTGATAAAAAAAGCCAAAAAAATATACACTATAATATATAATGTTAAACTCATTGATTAACTAAATTCAAACAAAAACACAAAGTAAATTTGTGCAAATTTTAAACAAAAATTAATGCAATTTTCGTTGTTACAATTAATCTTGCATAGTTCAATTTCAAACATTTTTTTTATGATAATAACAAACTAAATATTTTCAAATAAGATTTATATTTTATATTACACGCCTTTTCACTTTTTTTTAATGTTCGCCAATTTAATTGTGATAGTATAAACACTTAATTTTAAAGGTGCGTTTAATTAGGATTCTCTAATTATGATTATGTAAACATAATATGCAACTAACTAAAATAAACTACCAACCGTTCTAACATCCCACCCTGTCCAAGTCGCTAACCATATTCCTCAATATATTACACTATGTTTAGGTGCGATTGGTGAAGCTTTTGTTTTTCCTTAATATGCCTCTCTTTCACAATTGACTATAAAATAATTCAGAAATAATATTTCTAATCATTATCTTAAAAAGAGGTTTAAGTACTTCTTACAAGAAAATAATCTATTACACTAACATATATGAAATATAATCACTACAATTTAATTCATCTTAAAGTAAAGTCGTTTTTGTTTCTCTAGAATTTCAACTTTTATTTCGAGCGTTATTTTTAGTATATTTCAATACACTTTTGCTTTCATCAGGAGAATTCCTAATATTAAAAACATCTATGCAACTTATAAACTACTTATACTTATTCAAATACTTATTCTTGAAGATACCATTTTACTATTTAGAATGCATTCGTTTAAGATAAGTAAACCCTTCACATCTTTTTCTAGACTTTTGTCGCCTACAAGAAAAACAAACGAATAAAGTTTCCTTAAAAATAGTGGGCAATACCGGGAAAAACAAAATTTATTACACTGACGAACCAGAATGAAATTTATCCTTAACTTGACAAATTAAGAATTTACTCTATAAATTTATTAAACTATGTGTATCTGCGTAAAAAGATAACAGCGTTGAATGATGAATACAATTTAGAAAAACTAAATATATAAAATCGCATAGCAAAATAAATATAAATCCTAAGAGCACTATAAATTTGAGGAAGAACTCTCATTATGTATCTCTCAAACTCTCTTACAACCTAATAGCCTAACAATCTAGCTCTCTTATAGCCTAACCTTCTTTTATACTTACTCCAAAATTATTGTTTATATTTTTTGTTGTCAATCGTATTATACTAGAATTATTGTATTATTACAATTATTATAAAATTGTTGCTCTAATTGCTTTAGTTGCTTCTAAATTGCATATATTACTTCTTACATTTCTCATTGCAGCTGCTCTGAGAGAAAATATAAACTGTGAATCTACACTCTAGACTCATTCCGTAAGAAATCTTAAATTTACAGTGTGATGTGAGTGGTGCTCAAATAATCCACACAATAAAGAGCAAACAAGCAGTCATCATTTTTGTGTGGGATCTATAAAATACTCACATAAATTATTACTTGTCGTTATAATCGGATGGAGTCCTCAATCAAAGTAATGAGCTGTTGGTGCAGATTGAGATTTACAAGTGTTTTGATTTGTCTGTATTTTATATAAACGCTGTTGTCAAGCCCTACATCTACTGGTATACCATATATTTTTTATCAAAGTTGATACAATATTTTAATAAACCGTACCATAGAACGTGTGCGCTATGCTTACGACTTCAAATCTGGCAGGGCATGCATATTGCCAGATAACCTATTATTTTAATAATTATCTTAATTAAGATAATCTTTATTATCTTTGATATTATCAATAGAACAAATAGTAATAATAATCAATTATTAGATCTATTAGTCTTAGTTTGGATAAAGAGCATTTTATATTAGAATTTATCTAATGCTATGAATGAGTTAAGGATTCCTGCAATGTTTTAATAGTCACTGAAGTACTATTGATAGTATACCCTCTTTTATATCACATTAAATTATTTTGAATTCCACTTATTACACCTTTGCAAACCAGACTCTTAGGAGGAAAGAGAGGATCAAAATTCATTATAATTGCATGACAGCTAAATAAAGCATTATCTTTTAAGTATAAAATTAATAGATAAACTAAAATTTTTTCGACTCCAATTAAATTTGTGGGCCAATAGAATCATCTAACTTACAGTTAGCATTCATTTCTTTGTAATAAAGAAATAAATAAAATACTGTATAATTGACATAGATTATAACACGCTCATGTTATGGTTTA